CATGACCCAAGCAAGACCCTAACCCTGTCTCACGGGCTCAGGTGTGGTCACATGGTCCCCACATGCCAGCCACAGGGTCCGAGGACGGACACTCACATCACCCCCCCGAGTGTCCTGCTCAGCCCTGGGAATGTCGGCCACCTACTTCCGCAGGAAGGGAGTGGAAGCAAAAGGACACTCCCGCCACCACCCGCTCTCTGACCTCCAGCCAAACAGTCCACAGCCGGCAGCCCCGCGGCAAAGCGCGGCAGGCCGAGGAGCAGAACGGGTGGCGACGCCTCTGGCAGCCTCCCTGTAGTCCCCTTCCCCGGTCGGCGCAGGGCAACGCCGTCTCCCGGGAGACAGGTGTCAGGACCCCGAGTGGGACCCAGCCGCCCCCCAACCCCCAGCGGGGTGAGGAATCGGGATGCTGCGCGAGACACTTGCTGGCCTTCGCCTCCCAGCACGTCTCATCTGCACCCGACGCCCCTTCCTGACCTCGCAGTTTGTCTGAAGGAGCCTCCGCGCTAGACCCTGGGAGGCTCACGCCCGTGCACGCGGCGAGGGGTGCCTAGAGAGCGTCGCTAGTCCATGGATGTGAAAAATAAAATATGTTTGATCAATGAAGTGTTTGTCTGCAGCAAAATGGCCCGGGTTCAGCCAGACCGACTCTCACGGCTTAATTACTGTCAACAGAGTCCGGCTTCCAGAAGAACAGGGTGGTTTGACACGCATCGACCCGCCGTCACGGCCGCGGCGCTCGCAGATGAGCGGCCGCCTGTCGCCTTCCTCGCCGGTATCGGGGACACGTCAGAGCCATCGGCAGTGAGCCCCCTCGCATTGATAAGCCGGGGAGCTAAAAGGGCCGGTGAAGGCGTGATTGATCGTCGCGTAGTAACGAGGGTTACGCGAGCGGGAGAACAGGACGCCGCCGCCGCCTAGATCTCCCCATCCATCTCCATTTCCCTCGCGGTGCTGCTGCTTCTGGGCGTGTGTTTTTTTAATTTTCCTCAATTAATTACAGTCGATTAGGTGATGAACAAAATGACTTTCACGGTGTGCCTGAAGAGACCTTCTCTTGGGGAGACTGTTCAATGCGACAGTGTAGCCGGTTCGTTCTGGAAGATGCGGTTTCTGCCGGGGCGGCCCCAGCGCTGAGGAGGAGGCACTGGGGACCCGCACGGGTCCCTCCCCGGGGAGCTCGAACTGCAGACGAGAGCCCTGCCGTGGCACTCTCGGATTCGGGCTTCGGAGCACAGACGTCCTCTGTGTCCTTGGGCCAGACAAGGAGGGACAGAGGGTGCCTGGCCCCGCTCGGTTTTAGCAGAGTAAGGAAGGGCACGGAGCAGGTTGCGTGGTCCTAGACGTTTCTCTCGGTTTGTGAGGTGGGGTTTTCTGGGCCCTGCAGGAAGGGCAGGAAGTCAAACTCTCAACTTCTGGGTAAAAAGACGGCTAGAGGGGCCCGAGTTCCAAGGCATCCAATGTGCCCAACTCGTTTCTGCTTGGACGCTGTATCCTTTGGATGTAGCTCCAGCCTCTATTCTGGGCATCATCCCTTGAAACAAAGTCAGGGAAATCCACTGCAGCTCCATTTGGATTCATTCCTTCCGTGCACTTTTACCTGGGAACCTGCTGTATGCACAGAGCTGCAGGGGGCTGCAAGGACGGCGAGAGACCCAGAGGACCTGTTCCCTGACAGAGCAGTGGACATGGGGACAGGCACTGCACTCAGACTCCCTGACCTTGAATCTGGGCAGGTCACTTAATGCCTCTAAGCCTCAGTTTCCTCGTCTGTGCAATGGCGACAGGGAGGGTCCATGCCGCTCACGCTTGTGCAGATGTGACGAGATCATCTAGCAGATGGCAAACCCAAGGCAGCACCCTGCTCACAGCGGGCGCTCAGGAAAGGTTGGACACAAACTCTGAGCAGAAAGGGCAAGTCCACACCCACGATCACAGTGAACCAAGCTACACACAGAGAACTGACAATCGATCGTGACGTTCCCAAAGTATGCCCGGCAACAGCAGGAGCGGCGTGGAGTGTGTTAGAAACGCCAATTCTCAGAACCGCCCCCCCCAGACCTGCTGACTCGGACTCCGAGGTGGGAGGAGCAGCTGTGTTTTCACTGCCCTGTGGGGGACCCTGGCAGACGCAGAGCTGAATGCCCACTGCACTGTCACCGAACGAGGCCTTGGAGGCACCTGGTGCTTCCTCGTAGCCGGCTGTACCACCACTGCTGCTGCAAGAAACTGTGCCCTGGGGAGCCGCGGTTCAAGGATGGTGGAAGGCACACAGAACAGAACCCAGCCAATGCACAGCCTGAATCCTGGAGCCAGGGGTTCCCAGCCTGGCCCAGCCCTGGTGCCAGGCAGTTCCCCAACTGACTCAGCGTGAGAAAGAAATGCTGACTGTTTCAAGCCTTTGGGTCATGGGGATGTTTGTTACTCAGCATTATTGCAGTGTTGCTAACTGATACAGATGGCTCTATGCTTGGATGATGAACAAATACGGAATATTCCTAATGGATAACACACTACTGGAGTATTTTCTGATCCAGAAAGAGGGCACAACATACAATCCCAAACAAATGGCTCCATGCTGACTGAAACCAATACTCAAGCCAGCCCTGTACAAAGGGGAATTTGAATTGAAGAATGGGACAGGAGTTTTTGTTTGAGCTGTTTTGAATGAAACAGCTCCAGAATCTCCACGAGCATACTTACTTACTCAACTTTGTGTAACTTTCAAAGGTTTCCGTTTATATCTAACACCAAACCGATGCCAGATTGAAAGGTCAATTGACAACCCAATATGGTCAATGCAGGAGAGAGTTCCATGTGCAAATCCACTTACAAACCCAGAACTTCTATCCCAGTCGTCTCCCTTGAAAACTTTCTTCCCAAAATTAGTTCTAACGTGTAGATTAATTTTTTTGTAGGTGACAGCTAATCTGCTATCTCCCCGTAATAAAATAATTAAAATATTCTTGCTCTCCCAGTTGTATTTTTTTCAGAGTAATCCTGTCATTAAAAGTCTTTTAATATTTTTCTGCTCTGTTATCTGCCAAATGTCAACTTTCGTGTTTTCTCTGCTCTTCTTGTCTTCTGTCATATTTCTCATTAAATTCACCCTTTTTGTTCTTTTGTTTTGATGGCTCATTGTTTGCCCAGAAACAAGCTTTGAACTCAAAAACCTGAAAGGCGTTTCACTTGGAATAAAAGAGTCTGTAGTGTCACACGTTTGTTGGCTAATGTGTCCCTTCATCTGTTTTGTTTTAATTTGGGAGAACGACTGTTTACGCACAAGGCCTTTTGTTTCTTGGGGGTTGGTCTGGTCTCTGTACACATTCTTCCAAGGAAATGAATCCTCTGATAACATAATCATCACCATAGCAACGGGGAGGCCATGTCACCGACAGGATTATGACTTCAAGAGCCCAGATTTGCATCTTTTACCCACCACTTAAGAGCCAGGCTCCTCTGCGGGCTCCGCTCCACGGCCTGGCGCAGGCTGCGCGAAGGGCCCCCAGGCTGGGAACCGGAACCGGGAAAGAACGGTGAAATGGAAACCCCAGCGACGCCCCTCAGCCCGGGACGCACAGAGCGCGGGGCACGGCCTCTCGGCGGTGTTCAGCTCCGTTGTTTTGCAGTCCTGACCCCACACCTGTCCCATGCCGCCTGCCACAGAGGAGTGGCGTTTGACATCACAGGCGAGTGCTTCCTCGGTGCCCGGCAGCCCGATCAGAGGCTCTCAGGGCCCAGGGCCCTCGGCTAATTCCGAGCTGGCCCGTCCGCTAAAAGCCCGCGGAGAACTGATAGACCGGACAGGCTTCTAAGGTGAGAAAAAACAGTGCCGCCCACCCAGGCTCTGCGGATGGCAGTTGCGGGGACGGAAGTCAGCACTGAGGGTCCAGACTCTGCCATTACCTGACCTGAGCTTGGAATTCCGCTTGGCCTTTGATAAGTCACTGAGTAAATCTGCAATTTCGACCACAAATAAAGCAAAGAGTGTATGTCATTATTGTTGTTGTTGTTTTTTAACTCTGGATCCAGAACACACCAGATGGGCAAGGCGCTGTTGGGGCACAGGTGCTCCTGACACCCACAGGTGTACTGGGTGCTCTCGGGGGCGTGATCTGGGTCTTCCAGGCACCCCCAGTGAGTTTGGCAAGGTGATTGCTCACCTGTTTCACAGAAGGCAAAACTGAGGCTTCAGAGGTTTCCCGGGATGCTCCGGATCACACAGCTAGGAGCAGCGGAGCCATGGCGCAGACACAGACCTGCCAGAAAGCCAGGCCCTGGCCAGAAAGCCAGGCTGACCTGGAGCACGGTACACCTGCTGGGGCAGGATGAGACCCATCCCGGAAGGCTCAGTGGCCACGTGAGGAAGGGCCTGGGAGGAATCATTTCACCTTTCACCCACGCGCTTACTGCCCCCAAACTCCGTCCGTGCCCAGCATCTCGTCTCCTCCTCGGGGTGGCAGCCGCCCAGACAAGGGGCCAGCCCTTGCCACCCACTAGACCGTTGGTGGGGACCGGTTCCCCAGCTTTGCGCAGAATTCAAGAACTATGATTGGATCTGCTTCAACACAGTAATCCCCGCAGCCTTCCAAAAAATAAAAATAATCACCCCATCAGCATTTTATGGTGCGTTTATAATTTTTTATTTAAATGTTTAATATCATGAAACAGGTTTGGCACACAGAGAAATCCGTTGATTTCATCAGAAGAAATTGCTGTCTTTTAAGCGAAAGTAAATACTAGCTAGGGCATCCCCGGAGAGCAGGCAAAGATGAAGGAAACAGGTCCCGAGTTGGCCAAACCTGGCAATTATTCTCTCAAAGGCGGCCGTGTGTCACAAGGAAGTGTGACAAGTCCCTCAAGTCATCAGTGGGACCGATTTATAGGCAAAAGCAAAGACACAGTCCCCCCAGAAGACCGTTGAGTTAGCAACTACGTACAAGGGAAAAGGAGGGATCTGGGAGGCTCAGGGGGCCAGGCCAGTTCTGCGGGACCCTCTCAGCTCTCCTGGGGTTTCTATTATCTCGAATATCGGACCACCGCCACCAACCAGCCACGGTCTAGTCCTCCGATGAGCCGTTCCAAGGGAGAGCCGGGCTGCCCGCTAAGACCCCTCGTCCCGACTCTGCCAGGAAGGGAAGAGCAATCAGCGTGTTGGCAGCGGGCAGAATCATTGCACGTGACCGTTTTTACTTAAGCAAATGCAGCACTGGAAGGCATTTATTAATTCAGGCAAAGAGGCATCTCTGAACAGCAAACATTCAATTATTTCAGTGTTTACTGTTGAGAAAACTGCAAAAGAAAATGCACATTCAACAGACACGTTGTGAAAGGTCTTATAGAAGCGAGGCTATTGCACAGATTCTAAGGCATATCCTATAATTTTGTTTGCTTTTTAATCGTGGCAACTGACTGGGTCCAATGTTAGACTCTTGTTTCTACCCTCTCCGCGCTCTCCCAGCCCCCGTAGCCTTCTGATCCAGGCCGCCAGGTGACGTTCGGTTTTGCAATGTCTCACGGCCACTGCCGCCGAATGAGGCAGCCCCTCGGTCAGGATGAGGAGAGATGACACGTGAGCTTTGTAGAATATCCCCCGATTTAGAGTCCTCTCTCCTGTGAAGGCCAAGTGGCTGCATCGGTAACCTGATTCGTGGCCTGCCGTGTCCCCACCCCACCCTTGTCCCACTGGCTGTGAGCTCACCCAGGTGGCTTGCCTTGGCCAGCAAATGTGAGCAAACGTGGCTGGCCAAGACACTCACTCTCATTGTCCCCTGCCACCACTGCGAGGGCACATTCAGCTTCTCCTACCGGGAAGCAAGGCAACCATGCCTGCCGGAGAGCGGAGACTGGCTCCGGAACCACCCCGGGCCAGCAGCGCCCAGCTGGCTGCAGGCTGGCTGCAGATACAGCGAGCCAACCCGGCGAGTCAGCGAGCCAGGCCTGGATCCAAACAGCTGCCCAGCCAACCAGTAACTCAGGGAAAGACGATGTGTGGCGGGTGGTTCTTTCTAGCCAGCGGGTGCTGGGACGGTGTGTTGCGTGGCATTACTGAGGCCATAGGCAGCTGGTACGAATGGAACTCCAGTTGCCGTTGGTTAAGCGCAAATTATGTGTCCGCCTCTTTACAGACTGGTGCTCTGCTCAGCTCCAGCCTGCCCAGTGATGCCAAGGTGCGGTGTCACTGTTCCCACTTTTACAGATAAGGGCGCGTGCCGTATGCAGCAGAGTTCACTAAGCACAAGAAGCTGCCTTTGGGCCCACAGCCCCCCCCCACCCTCAAGTCACCTGCCTCCACATCCACAGGTCGGTGCCCCATGAGCACGAACAGGCTGCCGGGTGGACGCCGGAGACCTCCTGTCCACAGGGAGGGACTAAACCACGCCCCTGAATTGTCTGCATGTCCTGCCGCCCCTGGAAATGCTGCAGAGCCCACCCGGGTCCTCCCGGTAGACACACGGGCCGGGCGCTCTGTTTGCTGCAGCCCCCCACCTGTTGCACCCTGTGACGGGGTCACTACAGACAAATCTGCACAAGGCAGATGCCAGACCCATGCACGTCCTTCAGAGTCACAGGGTCCCCAGCGTGGGAGCGGTGACTGTCACGCCCCACAGCAGGTCTCCCCTGAAGTCACTCCCCTTGTGGCCTAAACGGATTATACCTGCGATGGATGAAACTCGTGCAACACCCGTTCTGCCTGTCCTCCTGGGCAGAGGCCGGCCACTTGGAGCTGAATTCAGCTGTGTCCCTCCAAGTGCCCCTGGCCTGGAAGCCACCTGAGCACCCGGAGCCAGGAGGGGGGGTCTTCTCCATCACTGTATCGGCAGCTTTGAGCCTGATAATAAATACGATAAACAAGTGCTCGTTGGGGACAGGCATTTTAACAACACGCATATAGGGAGTGTTTCAAGCAACGCCTAGGGCTCTAGCCCAGGCTCACTGCATCACTTCTTCTCCATGCCAGCCAGCCGCCCGCACGCCGCGGGGGCAGGTCTGAAAAATGCAAATGCTCCGGCCCCACCCCGGGGTGAGGAACGACCGCCACATGCACGCACACTCGTGGGAACTGACAATGAGCAGCACCTGCACGGGGGTAGACCCAGTGGAAATCAATCGACGGGGCATGGGGGCGGGTGCTGGAGAAGAGGAAGGGACCCACCTAACGGGCACTGTGAACACTATTTGGGGGACAGACACACCTTTAGCCAGGACTCAAGCATTACAAAAGTGATCCCTGTAACCTAAAATATTTGTACCCCCTTAATATTTTGAAATTTTTAAAAGAGGAAACAGAGGATTTGGAGGATGCCTGAGGAGAGCTCTGGTTTCGACTCCCTGGCTGAGTCCCAGGTGCAGTCGGGGGTGCCACCTCCCCCTCCACCCATTCCGATCTGAACACAGAGGTTAGCAAGCTCTTCCCTGAGCTCCACGCTGGGACGTCACCTCCCCAGGGACAGCGTGCACAGCCCTCCCAGGAGAGGCCAGCAGAGCTTCCCTGAGAGCACGTGGGCCCCCCCACCGGCTCCCCGCCTGCCAGGGCCACCCCAGCTGTGCGCTCGGGTGACGGACGGCGTCCAGGAGCCCAAGGAGCTGGCACAGCAGGTGCAGCGGGAGGAAAGGCTCCCACCCACACCGCCGCTGGGAGCCGGCCCCCCACGGGCGGCACCTGGGCCAGCCCCGAGAGCACCCCGACGGTGCCGGCCTTGGCGGCTCTGGGGCACAGGGTGGGCGCAGCCAGCCGTCCCTGTCCTCCCACGCCAGTGCTCACGCCCGCCCGTCCAGCTGCCCCTATTGCTAGTCCGGGAGCAAACCCGAGCTGGCGGGACTTGAGAACTTGGACAGCAGCCAGATTGTGAGTATCGTCCCTTTCAGGCCGGTTAACGCGACATCTGACCCACACGGGCTATTTTTCCCATTGGTGAACCCAATAAGCGAGGTGGAGAGGCCAGGCCAAATCTTTATGTGAACAGGAAACAGATGAATTTATGGTTGCTCAGGCCGTTTTGATGGAATCCCAGGCCGTCTCAGGCAGAGGCAGTTACCTGGGGGCGTCCCTGACCACGTGACCTGGGCCCGGAGACCCCACAGTGTGCTGGGGGCACGGCTGCCCACCTGTGCCCAGGCAGCAGCCCTGGAGGCACACCTGTGGCCTCATCAAGGTGCACTCACTGTGAACTGCGAAAGCAGAGATCTCTTACGTCTCCACCTGCTACGCCCTGGGAAAGGACGTCTGTGCTACTGGAAACTTCTCCCGGGGTGCACGGGAAAGCGGATGGGCGTCAAGAGCCCAGCTTCGGGGCCCCTCCCCCCCACCAGCGCGTGGGCACTTGGCCCACGGTCTCCCCATCTGGGAAAAGCGGGCTTCGTTCGGACTGTGAAATAAAAATAGCCCGTGTGTTCTTGTGCGTGCAATGTGCTGGGCAACGTGCTAATTGCTTAATTAGTAGCGAGGCAATTAACATTTCGTAAGTCATGACCGGCTCTTCCCGTCCCCAGCTGGTGGGGACTGTCCTTATTCCCACTTGTCAGGACGGGACTCGGGGCTTGGACGGCGGACCGCGCGCCGCGTCTGCAAGGAAGGCCCTGGTGCCGACGCCGCCCCGGGTCGAGCAGCGACTCCTTCCCGCTCTGCTGCGGACAACCCCGCCCCCACCCTGCGCGCAGCCTGCTCGCTCCGGACCGCCCACCTGCCGGGCCCTGCCTGTCACCAGACGTGTTTGGAAGGGCCCCCACCGGCTTCAGGACAGCCGGACGGTCCTTGCTTTGCTGTGTGTGTTTTGTTTTCTCCCTCCCGACGGACGTGGCCACCTGGCACTCAGCATCCCTCCCCAGCCCCGTCCTGAGTTCCTCCTGGACCGCCACGGCTGGAAAACCAAGAATCGCTCGTGTGGGGCGCAGACAGCACAAAGGCCCCGGCGGTCCTTGCCCCGTGGTGTTTACCTGGGAGGTGGCCTGCTGACCTGCATCTAGCCAGTAGGATGATGGAAGCTGCACTTAACGTGATGGGGTGTCACTTCCTTGATTAGGTTATGTGAGACCGCAGCCTCACCCGCTGGCACACTCTCCCCGGCATTCTCGACTTGCAGGCTTCACAGCATAAGAACTGCGTTGGGGGGTGGGGTCCACGTGGCAGGGCACCGAGGAGCCCCCCGTCCCTCCCACCAACACCCAGCAAGGAGCTGAGCCCCGTCGAGCAGCCTGGAGGAACCGGACTCTGCCCGCACCCACCTGGGCCGGGAGGCTGCTCCTTCCCCAGCTGAACTTTGGGACGAGCCCCTGACCCCCTGGCTGAGACGCCTCGATGGTGGCCACGTGAGACACTGAGACAGAGACCAGCCTTGCCGGCCGGGACCCCCGGCCCACACACAGAAGCCGAGAGAAGGTAAATGCACCGTTTGCGGCGGTCGGTTAGGCCGCAATAGGCAGCCCGCACGCCTTGCACCCACAGCTGCGGGGAGACGAGATTTGCTATCAGGTCTGTTGGCAGCTGCTCTCCGGTAGATGCGAGACAGAGGGAGGGATCTTCCTGCTGTCTTTGGCCGGTTTCTGCCGGCATGGCGTCAGGCCGCTAGCCCAGCAGGGGTGGGGAGGACGCCGCAGCAGCCGTGGCCACAGGGCGAGGTCCCAGTGTCTTCGAGGCTATGACGAGACAGCACATTCCCGAGCCCAGTGGCCCAAGCAAGCGATCTCGGTTTCCACGTGCTGTTCTGGCTCTGCGGCAGCCTCCTGTCTTCCTGCCTTGGTGACGGAGGGGAGGCGGCAGCCGCCTGGGCGGTCACCGCGCAGCACGGGCTCTCGCCACAGCCGGCAAGTCCCCAGGTCTCCGGCATCCCCTCTCCTCCCCGCCCAGCAAGGTCAGGAGCGCAGACTCCATCATCGAGCCCCGTCCTGCTCACATCACCTCGGGTAGCTACTGTTTCCTGCACGGAGCCCCGGCGGAGGCACCTGCTAGCTGGATTGCTTCCTAGAAAGTGGAGAAGGCCCTTTAGTTTTCTCGCTGCGTACCTGAGTGCTGTTTCTCTGTGCAAATTGAAGATACTTTGAATCTTGGCCAAACACGAGTTAGACAACATAATCCCACCTCGAGCACACACGGGGCTCGATTGTTTACGGAGCCGTGCTACAGAAGCCCCTTCTTTCACACCACACGGGGCTTTCTGAAGCGGCTGTCCTCCCGCTCCCATTTTACAGATGTGAAGACTGAGGCTTGGGGCAGTAAACACGCCGAACGAAGCCGGCATGAGGGAGCCAGGGCCTCACCCACCTTCCACACGAGCGTTAGGGCTTTCTTTCCAGGTTCTAGGTGGGCTTGAAGAGTCTTTGATTTGTAGTTGGTTAAAGAAATGCAACTTTGTCTAAAGGCTTGGTATGTTTTAACCTAAACTTAGGATGTCTGTTAATCAGAGACAAACCAACCGGCATTTGCCAAAACTCAAGTCATCTGTTCAGCAAACGGATGGCCGGCAGGGTGGTGTAAGCTTTGCCGTGCGTGGCCTCAGTGTGCTAGTGAGTGAGCCTCTTATCGTTACAAAGAGCAACTACAAACGGAGCAGGACGGCGGGCCTGTCTCACCTCCCTCCTCCTCCTGGCCGGCAGCTCAGCTCGAGGGTCTTTCTGGGGTCCCCTCGGCCAAGAGGGTCCATTCAGTCTTCTGGGGACCTAAGGTTTATGCTATTTCACAAACCCGGCCACCGGCCAGCACAGTTCGAGTGACCACTGGGTGAGGGACACCATCCGGTGACGTCCTTGTCCCCAACTTCATCCGATGGCTGGGATGTGCACCCAGCCACTGTCGCCGCCGTCCTGGACCGTGTTACTTACTGGCTGATCTACGCCAGGAGACACCTGGTTCTCATAACCAGCCCAGGGCCCCCCGCAAGGCCGGGAAAAAAAAAAAAAACCCTTTTAAAAGAAAAAGCCAAAAAACCACGTGAAAAAACCAAGAACCCCGCCCAAACCCCGGGGGGGAACGGGGTTTCCAAAAAACCCCTAACCCGCCAATCCGAACTGGCAAAAAGGAAAAAAAAGGGAACTGAAAAGAAAAACCCCAAGGCCCCTGGAAACCCAACCCGGGGCCAACAAAACCGCCCCATCACCTGCGGGGACTCGCCACTCCCGTCTGAGCCGCGCCAGACCTGCCCACGGGGCTGGAGGGAGACGGGCAGGACGCTGCAGCCACAGCCAGGAGCCGGGACAGCACGGCCCACAGGCGACAGGGCGAGCAGTGATGTCTCCCGGCTGCTCCGCACCAAGCCGGCCGGGGCAAGAGGAGCCCACGTCCTCCGAAGGCGCCGGGAGGGACTGGGAATCCTGGCTAAGAGTGGCAGGAGGGGAGCAGGCTCCGGACGGGACGACGGCCACACTCACGCGTGGTCTCAGTCCGGGCGCTCTATGAGGGGCCGGGTGTCCACACTCCAAGGGGCTGACACCGGGGAGAACCAGGCCGCCGTCGGGATGGGAGCCCTGTCCCCTCCCTGGGCAGCGCTGCGCATCTGCACGCTGGCGTCACAGCACCCGGGGGGGGGGGCACCGCCGGGTCCCCGGGGGACACCTGGAATGGCACCAGCTCCTCCTACCAACCGGAACCGGCTCCCTGCGCCTGCTGCCTGCTTGGCTGTGCCCCGAGACCTCGCTCCGCCCGGAGGGAGCCGCGCTCAGCCGGCTTCAGGTCCCTTGACACCAACTGTCACGGGATGCCCAGTGAGGGGAGACGGGTCCCCCCGGCGGAGGGCGCCCCAAACTCGGCCCCAGCGCCTCCCTTTCTTCACACCCTGCAGCCAACGGGTCGGCAAGGGTGCTCGGAGCTCCCCGCAAGGTATTTCAGGACTCTGCGTCCTCCTCCCGCCCTCCTCTCCCCGCCGGGCCCGGCCACAGTCACCCAGTCACTGTGGCACTGTCACGGTCCTAGTCGGTCATTTCTGCCTCAGTGGCGCCTTCTTCATCGACTCTGTCTCTCATCCGTCTGTCTGTCCACTTCATACATATCTACAACGACAACACAGTCATTAGGATGTTTTGCACATGTGCACACATATGTTTATATGCATGTGTGTAGAAAACACATGTAAATATTTTACAATTGTATTGGTATAAAGATAAATATAATTGGTATAAAGACAAATACAAATACAATGGCTGCACTGTATGCCTTTGCTGCTTCTGACTTTTAAAATAATTAAAATGTCTTGAGCCCCGAAGGCCCATGGTGCGCTGGTCCCGGTGTCCACGGCGCTGCATACAGAAGGCGTCCGGACTGCCGGGGCCGCCCCCGCCTCCTCACGCAGCCCGCAGCGTGGAGTCTCCGCCCAGAGCGCCCGTGGGCCTTTGGAAACGCAGGTCCTGTATCGAGCATGTTATTCCTCTGCCCAAAGCAGAGGGTCCCCCCACCCCACCCACCATGTGCTCAGAGTCCAATCCAGGGGCACGGCCCACAGGCTGCGCCATCTGGTCTCCACGAGCGTGTGGCTCTCACTGGCGGCGCTCGCTCCCCCACCCCCGCCACACTTGCCACCCCGCCCGCCCACCGCTTCCCAAGCGCGCCGTCCCTCTCTCACCCCAGGGCTTTTGCACTTGCCCCGCCCTCCGACTTGACGGGCGTCTCCCTCGTCTACCTGCAGCCAGGTTCTGCTGCTCAGGTGCCTCCTTGTCGGAAAGGCCCGTCCTGAGCAGGGGTCTGGGCATCCTGCTCCACACCGCCTGGGCCCTCGCCCCTCCTCGCCTGCGTCTCCTCAGAGCACTTCTTACCACTCTGTTCACTCCGTGTCTGTTTCCCCTGGCTTGGGTTTGGGCAGAGGCTCCATCGTGTATCTCGGGGGCCCAGAGTCCCACCGGCGAGGCGCTAGAATCTCACTCTGCATGCGGACTCCGCTGTTAGTAAGTGACCCACTACTAGTGGTAGACAAGATGCATGTAGGAGACAAATGGATCAATGTTTTGATAGCATGAATTTTACTTCGTACCAGAAAAAAATAACATATATATATATGTGCATACACACACACACACACACACACACACACACACACACACACGCACATCTTTCATAGGATATTGACAAGGATCAAGTTCCCCTTTGAAGGCCTGGTGCTGAACCCACAAGTACCGAGTTTGTGTTTCTGGGGGGGTTATGGAATTAGCGACCCCTGAGCAGGCTCCACCTGCCCCAGGAGAAGGTACCACGGCTAAGAAGCAACCCCCTGAGGGCCCTGATTGAAGGCACCATTTCCAACGGAAAGGGATCATGGCACTGAAAGTAACAGAAAGCTGTCCGTAAACGCCAAAAACCAGAGCAAGCGCCAAACGGAGGACTGGTCAGCCGAGCACCAGGAGCTGGGACGGAGACGGGGAGGTTGGTGGGAATGCTGTCAGTTTCCAGGCCACCTGCCGAGAAGATCTAGCTGAGTTGGAGGCCCCCTGTGACCGAGCCATTGCAGGGCTTGGCCTGGAGGTTGGGCCCCCGTGTCTTTGGATGCACCGTAGCACCCCAGGAGGGTCCCCCTCTACTTCTGGTGGCCAGGACTGAAATGGGCACAGCCTTCCAGACAAAGAAACACCCGCCCTTCCTTGCAGTCGTTCTGCAGCAAAACCAAGTCGGATCCTCGGAGTGCGGTTCTCTGGGTGAGAGGACGCCTCTGTTTATTTATTTATGTGTTCTTGGCTCTGTGGTCTCGCCCTAAGAACAGCCAGAGCAGCTGACACCACTCGGTGCTTTCGGGGCTGGTGCCGCGGCCGCCTCCTCTGGATGCGAAGTCCGCATGTCAGTTGCTCCGGGTTCTCGCCGCGCGAGCCCCGCGTGTTGCCTGGTAACGATTTTCACGGCTGCATTAAAAGGAGAGTTCTGAAAACAGGATTGCTGAGAACCTGACAGCAATTACAGGGGAGGCAGGCCACTTCTTTCGTTTCAGAAACCAACACACAAACGGATCTGCCCGTTCGGTTAGTATTTTATTATCATTTAAATGGGCTGCCCACTCGACTTGAAGCCAGGCTTCCTGTCAACACTAATTCCACACCCCTGGCCTCCCAGCCTCTTCAGAGACGGAGTGACAGTCGCTCGGGAGGGAAGGTTCTTTCCAACTGCCTTCTGACTTCCTCCCGGCTGCAGAGTTTGTGCTGGGCAGAGGGGCCACTCTGCAACCAGGGCGCCCGACGGCACAGCCCTCTCCTGCCCCCTCCCTCCTGCAAGGAGCCGCCCAGCAGCCACCTCACCTTTTCCCTGCAGTTAGAAGCAAGCAGACGCTGACTTGCTGGTTAGCTGACCCAAGCGCGAGTGTCCCGGGCTACACTGTGAGCTCCTTAGGGGCAAGAGCAGCACACAGGCTGTTTATTTATTTCTCCGCAAATCCCCAGAGCCCTGGGCCCACCGAGAGTTCTCAATAATTGGTTCCTCTGCCACGCAGCCAGCTGGTTCTCATGCGTAGAGTTAGGTCCTATAACCTCGGTTCATTTCAACCCACAAAAGGAGACGTTTCGACAACACATTCAAGCTTGCAGAAACTCCTGGGCAAGCCCCCTTTGGTGTGAAAAACGTTGCCCACACCTTTCCCGTTTTCATTCCTGACTCGGTTGCACTGAGTTCAACAGGGCCGTGGCGGGACAGCGCGGAAGCCAGCTTCACACCTGATGAAAAGTCTCGGGAGGGCCGTGTGTCCTGTGGCAGGCTCTTCCCTGAGTCTCTCGGCCTCGGCACGCCCGGGGCCTGGACCAGACGGCCGTCTCTGTGTGCGGGACACTCGCCAGCCTCTCTGGCCTCCGCCCACTCCAGCTGCCAGTGGCACCCACGCAGAGTGACAACCAAAAACGTGTCCAGACACTGTCACGTGGCTGGGGGGGGAGAAACAACAGCCTCACCTGCAGCTGAGGACCGTGACTTGGGCATCGGCGCTGCCTCCGCAGGGAGGTTCTAAGGAGCCGCCGTTGGGCAGCAGCCAAACACGGCGCCGCTGCTGACACCCGAGCTGAAACTCGAGCCGGGGTTATCCGACAGCAGAGCTCAGCCCTCCAGCCGGGCTTCAGGGACGGGAACCCCAGGTGAGAGTCCCTGGGGCACCACGGACTCGGCCCTGCCCCCGCTGGCACGCTGAGGTGTGCGCTCAGCCTGGAGAAGAGAGTTGGGATCCCTGCCCCGCGTCGGCCACGCGGGCGCTGACCCACTGCCTCGGTCTCCCTCCTAACAAGGTGCAAGGGGCCTGAACCCCTCTCTGCCCAACACTCGGCTGGTGTCTGAGCCACTGTGTCCTCTCATGGGGTCCTTTCTCCTGAGTACGGGGAATCTCAGCCAGCACGTGAACGGAAGGCCAAGCAGCCTGCAGGTAGCGTGGGCAGCGGCAGGGCTGGCGGAGGATTGGGGGGGAGAGCACGCCCACCCCAACCAGCTCCTCTATCACCTGGGCGCAGGGGGCCGGCCTGCCAGGCTCTGAGCGGGCACCTCCCTCCCTGCTCTCTCCAGTTTCTCAGCAGCGTGAAAGACAAGGAGCCCCTGATCTAATGAAATGTTCCAGCAAGAGGGTAAATTAACTTCCTCTCTAACTTGTCTGAACTCTTTATTGTTAACTGCTCAGTCCAACGGGACTGACTTCGGCAGCTCAGCGGGGGCTGCGGCCTCGAGTATCCAGAAGAAAGTTCTGGCCACCAGTCCAAGCAAACGCTTCTCAGTGGTGTTTCCCACTCTTTCTTCTCTTCCGATTTTGAAAGGAAAATATTTCTCCCAGAAAGTCAGTCATACTAACTGAAATATAAGGATTTCCTGTTTTTACATCTGAATTGCTCCAAATCTGCACGCCCCAGTTGTGAGAGAAGCGTCCAGCTACCGGCCACCGTCTCCTTCCTGGACGTGCTGCTATGACACAGCCCAGCTGGGACAGGGCGGGGCCGAGGGTGCAAAGTCAAGGAGGTGCTGGTGCTCAGGTCGTGCAGGGGCAGGTGGGCCTCCCCCGGCAGCACCCCTCACCTGTACCTGTGCAAAGGTTCTGGAAGGAGACAGAGCTGTGGAGTGGTCTGGGTGAAGAACTCGGTGTGAGTCTATTGGTTGGTGACCACCTTGGCTGATTCACCGGACAGAGCTGGTTCTCAGATGTCGGTACCTGTGCGGATCGTCCCGGACACCTGCAGGCCAGGCAGGACTCAAGCTCCACACCAGGGCGTCTGGCCGGGGAGGCAGGGCGGGCCCAGGAAACTGTATTGAAAGAACAGAACAGCACAGAACACCCCTGCAACTCCTGGACCACACTTGGAGAAACACCAAGTGATGTTGGAATGACCAACCCCTCAAATTATTTTTTAAGAGCTGTATTAGGGAGTAACTTACATGCAGGAAAATTCACCCATTTCAAGCATAAGACTAAATAGCTTCTAACTTTACAGACGTGTGCAGCCGTCACCCTAATCCAACTTCAGAGCATTTCCCTCACCCCCAGGAGGACTTCCTATGCCCTTTCGCAGTGAATCCCCTCCCCACTCCCAGCTCCAGGCATCTCCTCAAATCCTCACGACCACAAAGATCAGATCCGTATGTACGTATTTGGGGAAGAGCAGATCACACCTGCTCTTATGCCCAGCCAAGAGTTGCTGCCATTTCACCACCAAGGAGCAGCGATGTGTCTGCTTTTCTCGCGTATTCAAGAAGAAACCGAGTGCCTTGGTTTGGTTTAAGGCAGGGGCCTCCCCCGTTTCCTTCCCCACCCTTCCCGATGCACCATCCCCACAGGTGCACATCCACCTGGCGGAGGTGGACCTCTGACTCTCCTCATCTGCAGGGGCTTCCTCCAGGCCCGAGGAGGAGCCCTAGCAATGTGCTCCTGTGGTTATACATTTCTGTAAAATTTGCAAAAAATAAGGTCTTCTGGGTGGTGTCGGTGAAGATCGTTCCGTGTCTCCTCTGCAAATCCCCCCGGGAGGCTTCCAGGATCAGACAGCTCCCCTCCCCCAGGTCAACTCACCGGCGTTTGGGCACAGCTTGGCAAAGCCAGGAGCTAGTTGCGTTGTGATATTAACAGCCACCACGGCACCAGGCGTGGAAGGAGGCGGACGGTGGAGGAAAATCGCGATGACCCATTGGGAAATTCTCCCAAATACCCAATGGGAAATTCTCCCAAATCGTGTGGTTCCCATGAATTAAACCTGATAAGCGATTTCCAAAAAGTGAAAAGCATCCAAAATTTGCACATGACATTAACAAGAACGACGTGTGATGTAAAGGGAGACTTTCTAACTATTAATGGAAAACCAGTTCTTGGATCGGTGACGACAGATTAACCGCTGAGATACCCCTCAGCAGACCGCTCCGCTGCTTCACCTGTGAAATGATTCTCCTCGCCGACTCTTGTGACTCACAGACGCCTGGCACGCGAACGAGCTTTGTCAACCTCGCGGCCGTGTGTCAGCGGTGCCGCCATCATCCTCACTGTCGTTATTCACGACTCGACACGACACTCCCAGCTTTCGTTTAAGGAACATCTCATCACCCGGCTGACCGCGGAGACTGCTTGACGCAGCAGGAGTTGCAGACAGAGTTGGGAGTGGAAGATGCTTTAAAATAAAATCCTATTAACTAAGGAAGTCCCGTCTCTTTGTCTCTTTGCATTTTTTAGCATTGTGGTCTGCTGACCCCGCTTCCCTCTAGAATTGTGTCTGTTATCTGAGAGTGGCCTTGGGCTGCTAAAATTCTTCGGCCCCCATCAGGTCACACAGACCTCCTTCCTTTATAACCCCCGGCGAGTGTCCCAGCCCGGGGAGGAGGAGCAAATACACCCTGGTGTCTTGGGGGTGTTCCTCCCTCTGTCCCGTCATCATGTCCCTAAGCTGCACACGGACCTCGCAGATCATCTTTCTGCCGCAGTTTTTTCTGCCTACCCATTCGCCCTACATAGCATCGTTCTTTTCGATGTCAGAGAATTAATTATCTGAAATTGCAGAAATAACCTGAAATCTCACAGCAGCCCCCTGCCCGTTGGCGAGA